TGCCAACAAATCGACAAAGAAAAAATAATATCTGGCTTGCATCACATATAACATTTTATACAAAAAATGATAAAAGTGGCTATAAAGGTGGAAGGCCTTCTATATCTTATGACGAAGGAAGTTAGCCTCAAAAAAGAAAGCTGTCTTCCGAGCTTTCAAAGAAAAGTTTAACTCACTTTTTTATTCATTCAGCTGCTTTTTCTGCTAAGTAGACAAATGAAAAAGATATTTAACATATTCTGAAAACAAGATGAAATTCTTCTGGAAATGTACATAAATTAAACAAAGAACTTATGCCAACAATAAAACAGATGTGTCCCAGCGTGCTGTAGATTCTTCTGATCTCTTTTTGTCTAACATCGCTTCTAAAAAAATGTTCAAAATCACATAAACATAAACAGGAAGTTATTCGCCTTTTAAAGTTCCCAAGAGAAATTGCAGAACGGCCAAATGAAAATGAGAAGGCATTTAAGCCCAAAAAGTTTTTTATTTATATTTAATTTTATTTATTAAAATAAATGATATGGTTTAAAAATTTTCACTTTAGATGTGCGCGGCGGGAAAGGCGTGGCTGTTGTGCCAAAAAAATTTTTTTCAAAATTCTGATAGGGTTGTAAGGGTGAACCAGACCAAGGCAAGAACAGCATAGTTTTTGCTGTTGCATATTCCTTGGCTACATGGTGCATCAAGTCGACTCGCAGGTGAAAATCAATTTGATGGATACCACCTTCCCTATGGAAAAGGTCCTTCACGTGGTACCACCTGGAAACGTTCTACGGTACAGCTAACGCGAGCGGTAGAATCTCGTGACTCCTACACCTAAAGAATCCATTGACTCCCATCCACTTGCGAGTTCCGGGCAAGTCTAGAATATGCCTCTCCTCAAGTCAGGCGTATAAAGTGACCTTAGGAGCGGGAGATGAAAACAATTCAGCCGTTCTTGCTCGGCTAGAACAATTGGAAAAATCAGACCACAAAGTTCGGTATGACATCAGGAAGGCCAAGATAAAGGTTTTCCTAGCCGTCCCGGGCGATGTCCTTCAGCAAATCTTGCAGTCCTTCTCCGAGAGAAGGACATCGACATCGGCCTAATACAAGAGCCATGTTCTAGGGACGGGCAAATGTCTGGTATGGCCTTAAAAGGATACACAACTATATACATTAACTCGACAGGTAGGCCGATGGCGAATGTAATTATCAAAAACAACCTTAACGTACTTCTATAGCCCATGACGAACAGGCACCCCTGAAGCGTTCATTAGGGCGATGCAGTGGGCTGAGGAGAATAAGGCTACGCTTATCCTCGGGTGCGACGCCAAGGCTAGGCACATGCTATGGGGAAGTAAGGAACTAAACGAGAGGTCGTGACTTCACTAAGTAAGAAATAATTTCAAGGCTGGGAAGAGGTCCTAGACATAACTCTCCAAATGGAGCACAGCAATTATAATTATAATTATAAGCTAGGAAAATGGAGGGTCTCGACAAAAAGCTCTTTCTCAGATCATAGGTACTTATTCTTTGAAATCTCGATGCCGACACAGGTGACAGCACCGAAGCGAAATCCCCGAAATACTGACTGGGACAACTACAAAAAATTTTGCAGTCTAAGATGAGAAACAGAAGGACCAATGTTCGGTCTACCCTAGAAGGAATTGACAAGGATGTTGAGGACTTCCGTAATATTCTCAACGACACGCACAAGAAGTAATGCAGACTCACGTACTCAAAGAAGACAAACCCACAATGGTGAAACAAAGAACTAAACTTACTCAGGAAAAAGGTTAGGTCGGCCCTCAATACAAGCTGCGAGGCCAAGGATTGGCGACCGCACAAGGAGATAAATAATGAAAACAAAAAAGCGATATACGCAGCCAAGAAACGCTCTTGGATCAGCTACTGCGAATCGGGAATCGGAATAAACGACACCTCTAGGTTGAGCCCTATACTAGCAAGAGGGCGAGCTGCCCTACACTTATTAACACTAGAACTAGAAATCCTGCTGGACTATCCAGGAAACCGGATAGAAAATGCTGGCATAACGGAAATGCAAAGGGCAGTCCAAAAAATACGAGGGAAGGAGGTAGTCATTATGGAAAGGATTTATTGGGCGATCGAATTCTTCGACAGGTAAAAAAGCATGGTCCGGAAGGAATCATACCTTGAAATGCTACAAAAATAAAACATGAGTGGCTGGCTACAAGAAATCTTCCAAGCATGTATAAAATAGCACACATACTACTTCCGTGAAAGGAAGCAAGAGTAGTTTTCATTCACAAGCTAGGAAGAAGAGGACACATCCAAGCCAAGGACTAAAAGCCGATTAGCCTGACCTCATTCCTCATGAATACACTGGTACGGACACTAGATAGCACTAAGCAAACTCAATGCAAGGGCAAAATCATGTGGATTGGGCGTCAACCCAGGTAAAACGGACCTTATGCTTTTCACAAGCTGAACAAAGATTCCCAATTTCAAAAAATTTTACTCCTGTAGGAAGGCATTCAGAAAAAACTGGGGCATCCACCCCAATAAATAATATGGATCTACACAGCGGTTATAAGACCCATACTCACATATGGATCACTAGTGTGGGGGCCTACAACATCCAGAAACTCACAAGGATTCAGAGATCGGCATGCGCAGGTGTAACGGGTGCAGTAAGATCATGCTCCGCAGCAGCGCTAAATGTCATCCTAATCATTATTCCAACAAAACATTTCATCAGGAATTCAGTAGCCCAAAGTGAAGTACGACTGAAGGCAAGCCAGAGCTGGAAGAATTACCACACCGGACACTTTAAGATCCTTGACGAGATGAACTATCGGATGACAGAAGACATTGACATATGGCATATGACAACTTAACTGCAATTTGGCAACGCATACACCACGATATACCAAACAAGGGAAGTATGGAAAAGAGGGAGGGTACTCGAGCCAGATGAGGTATCACTCTACACCGAAGGCTCAGGGATGAGCGGCGGGGTATGGGCCGGAATCTTCGCCGAGAGCTGGGGAGTAGATGAGTCCTTTTACCTCCCAGCATCAGCGACAGTTTTGCAGGCGGAGGTTCTCGCAATAAAATTAAATTGAGATCTCCGGAATACCAAGGTAAGGATCTACTCAGACAGCAACAAAACTAGTGGTCAAATGCAAAAAGGGACTAAGAGACAGAAAAGAGGCAGAAAACAGCATGGCTTAAATAGCTTCGGTACCCGGACATAAGGACATCCCAGGAAACGAGAAAGCTGACGAGCTGGCCATGAAAGGGTCACAGGAAAGCTTCAACACAACAGACACTCTCTCTGAACTCAGTCCAGACGGAAATGAAATGGTCAATGAAGACAGAGCACAGAAGATCGAAGCTATGCTGGCCATAACAAAAACTGAAATTCGACAATTATTAAAATTAAGCAGATAAGCAAAATTATCTTCATATATGCAAAATTATCTTCAAAATTATAGTTTATGACAAAAAAATCGGGTTTTCCGCGTTTCCTAATGTGGGATGGAAAAGGAAAACAAAATTGTTTAAAAGCTTTTTTAATACATTCAAATGTTAAATACCCAATTCCAAAAAAAAGATGTTCATTTTTTAGTATATATTAACTTTAGTTTGTTCTAAATAAATAAATTAACAATATATAAAAATCGGCTGTACGACATTCTTATTTATATATCTTTTCAGGGTTCCCTCTTCCTTGCAAATTAATATAGTTGCCAAGAACCCAAAATTTTGTATAGTATTTTTCTTAACCAATTTAATTATATAAACTTTATAAGCTTTTCTGAACTTCTCTATTCGGATTTTCCGCACATTTTTGTTCATGAGAGATTCATAAGTTTAAATATATCTAAAGGATCTGCAAGAGAGAACCAGAAGTGTACCGTCAGGAATCTCCTTACGCCATCGAATTTTAATTTAATTTGACTCCCTATTAGACGGAGCTCACTATCAGCTGCTTTAAATTATTGGCATCTCGCTATCACTGCGTTGATATTTCGTACTCAATTCTGAAAACTTATAAATCGATATGGTTGGCATACACAAATATTAAATATATCGATACTATCGTGTGTGGCTGTCGGCTCTAGTGTATCTTAAAATGAGAATCCGCTTATCTCTGGTCGTTAAATTTCTTACAATAATGTGTGTGCAATGTGTGTATTACAAAAATAATAAGAAAAATACATTTCAACATAAAAAAATGTAAAAAATATAGGTACATATTAATATTTTATTTAATTCGTAAATATAGCATTTTTGAAAAGCAACTATAAACGGGAGTTTCGTTCGTATTAAAGCTTAAGATATACATACAAAATCTGAAGAACCGAGCCTAGGTTCAGAAAAGGAAATTGCTTCTCCGATTACTTCTTGCAAAATTTACAATTGAATTCCTTGAACTAAATAAAGTTAATATTGTAAATTAAAATGTAAGATCTACATAAAAGTTAAAATTTTAGATTTGTGTTTCTGAATACGTGATTTTGATTGCTTCAAATGTGTATGTAACCCGAATAAAAATAAATAGGTATAGAAATATAATGAAGAAAACTATGCATAAATAGAATAAAATGCATTTTAACCCCTGACACCAATTGTTATGGTCAGTTGAGAGGGCGTGGTAGATACCAACAGTACATGATATATATGTACATATATACATATGTATGTATGAACGGAATGAGTTCTGTAGCAGCGATGCAAATGTATGTATGCATCATGTTGATGATATGTATGTATATGTACACACGTACGTCAAAAAAATGTTTTCAATGTAATGTTTTATGTATAACATTTCTTCCAGCCCCTAATATTATTATAAGTATGGTTACGCATTCAACTCACTTTATTTGTAGTTTTTTTGTTTGTATACCAACAAATGGAGAGTGCTGGCTAGTCCATTACTCCAAACTTATCTACTGTGGATTTAATATTTAACATATTTATCTGTGTTTTTTGCATTTTTAGACGACAAATTATGTTGCTGATATGATAAGTTCCTTTAACATACAACTTAGAAAATGATTCAATGAATATATATAACAAGCAAACCAATCCTATTAAAATGCGTGCGGTTTAAATCAAGTATAAACGTAAAACGAAACTACAGATTACTATTATTCGAATACAGAATCGAAATATCTGCGAACCAGTTTGCAAATACATCTCGGAGTGCGGATATTGAATCGTTCTTACTTAAAGAACGATTTAAATGGAGATGAATTTTATTCTTAGTTGTCTGCTAGTAGCAACTTTGTGCGATAAATATGGATCAAAATCGAGATTTCCTCAAATCGAGGCAGCAAATGTTTGGGGAACCATGCAAAATGAACCATTTAATAATAATAACTTGACTAATGTCAATAATGTAACAATATCAAATGCAAGGAATCTAAGTACTACAACCATTACAAATGTGGCCAAATTCGATACGAAATTAAATCATCTTTTGGTTGATACCATTACTGGACGCGTCTTTGTTGGTGGAGTAAACAGACTGTATCAATTATCGCCAGATCTGGAGCTCTCGGAGACAGTAAAGACGGGGCCACAAAATGATTCAGTAGAGTGCAGTATCCTCGACTGTCCCTTAAATGCGGTGCGGAGCCCAACGGATAATTATAATAAGGTTTTGCTAATTGATCGGGCGACATCACGACTTATCGCCTGTGGTTCTTTATTCCAAGGTACCTGCACAGTTCGTAACCTTCAAAATGTTAGCATTGTGGAGCATGAAGTGCCCGATGCTGTGGTGGCTAATGATGCCAACTCCTCGACTGTGGCTTTTATAGCCCCGGGACCGCCACAACACCCCGTGACAAATGTAATGTACGTTGGTGTTACCTATACGAATAATTCTCCTTATCGAAGTGAGATTCCAGCCGTAGCATCAAGATCTTTGGAAAAACAAAGATGTTCCAAATAGCTTCTTCGGCGGTTACTACTGGGACAAGAACGTTTATAAATTCGTATGCTCGAGAAACATATTTTGTAAACTATGTTTATGGCTTTAGTTCGGAAAGATTCTCCTACTTTCTCACCACACAGCTAAAACATAGTCATCACTCTTCCCCCAAGGAATATATAACGAAATTGGTACGAATATGTCAGGAGGATTCAAATTATTATTCGTACACTGAGATTCCAGTGGAGTGTATCAGCGAGGCGCAAGGTGGCACAAAGTTTAATCTGGTCCAAGCTGGTTTCCTGGGCAAACCCAGCGCTGACTTAGCTCAAAGTTTGGGAATTTCTATACAAGATGATGTTTTGTTTGCGGTCTTTTCTAAGGGTGATGGCAATACACCCTCGAATAATTCAGCTTTGTGTATTTACTCACTGAAATCCATACGTCGAAAATTTATGCAAAATATAAAATCATGTTTTAATGGTAGTGGAATGAGGGGACTGGACTTTATATCACCAAGTATGCCATGCGTTTTAACGAAACTTCAAACAATTGGCGAGGATTTTTGTGGACTTGATGTAAATTCACCTTTGGGCGGCGAAAATCCGATAACTGCCGTGCCGGTAGCAATGTTTAACACAAGACTGACCTCAGTGGCAGCCACGAGCACTAGTGGCTATACTGTAGTTTTTGTGGGCACAGCCATGGGTTACCTTAAGAAAGTGGTAGTTGAGACATCTTCTGTTGCGAATGAATATGCTAATTTCGCGGTGCATCAAGGCTCGGCCATCAACCAGGATATGCAGTTCGATAACCAAAATCTTTACATGTACGTGATGTCCGAAACAATGGTAGCGAAGGTGAAGGTTTTCGATTGCTCTGACTACAAAACGTGCGGCGATTGTTTGGGAGCTCGAGATCCCTATTGTGGTTGGTGTTCGTTGGAGAACAAATGTAGTCCACGTTCAAATTGCCAGGACGATGCCAACGATCCCTTATATTGGGTCAGTTATAAAACAGGGAAATGTACGACCATTACCAGTGTTGTGCCCCATCAGTTGCAGCGAACCACAGCTCGCACTTTGGAGTTAATCATCGATCATTTGCCCCAATTAAAAGAGAATTTAATATGTGCATTCACCACCGATGATAAGGCCTTGTTCACAAATGCCACGAAAAAAAGGAATGGCGTTAATTGCACAACACCGCGAACCGATATGCTGCCTCAGATCGAGCAGGGCAAACATCATTTCACAGCAAAATTATCCGTGCGAACTAGGAACGGCCCGGACTTGGTATCCACGGATTTTACATTCTTTGATTGCAGCACACACTCGTCGTGTACAAGGTGTGTTTCCTCGGAATTTCCCTGCGATTGGTGTGTTGAGGCTCATCGGTGCACTCATGACACTGCAGAAAATTGCCGCAATGATATTTTGGTCACAGGTGTCAGCCGTATCGGGCCAAGTTATCGATCAGGTCCTGGATTTTGTCCCACTATTAATGCCACGGGGGATGGAAGTGAGGTTCTGGTAGCTGGTGGTACGAGCAAATCAATAAAGGTTAAGGTCCACATAATAGGACAGTTTATAGTTCAGACTCGATTTGTTTGCCAGTTTAACATTGAAGGACGCGTAACGAGCTTGAATGCCCAACTGCTGGGTGATACCATTTACTGTGACAGCATGGAGTTCCAGTATACTTCACGATCTCCTAACTTGACTGCTACATTTGCCGTTATATGGGGCGGATCAAAACCCCTGGATAATCCACACAATATACATGGTAGGTTTCTTTTCTATGCGTTTCTTTTAACCTTGTCTAGAAAAATTGGTTATTTCCCTATTTTCAGTTGTTATTTATCGTTGTCGCGAAATGGCAGATAGCTGTGGAATTTGCTTGGCATTGTCCGAAAAGTACAATTGCGGATGGTGTTCCTCGACAAATACCTGTGAGGTTGAAGAGCAATGTAACAATAAAACAAGGAGGGCAAAACGGATTGGTTGAATCGTAGTGAGATCTGTCCAAATCCAGAGATACACACATTTGAGCCAAAAACTGGACCCTGGGAAGGCGGTACCAACATAACGATTAGTGGAATTAATTTAGGAAAGAACTATAATGATATATACTCCGGAGTTCGTATTGCCGGCATTAATTGTATGCCATTTCCTCAGTTTTATATTGACACGAAACAAATAGTATGTACAGTGGATAGTCCTGGTGAGCAAATGTATCGAAATGGTAGAATTGTTGTACAAATTGGCGACTATCGTGGCGAATCAAATGATGATTACGAGTTTGTCGACCCCAAAATTCTCGATTTTTATCCGAAATTCGGACCAACTTCCGGTGGCACAGAGATACATATTACCGGCAAGCACTTAAATGCAGGATCTCGTATACAGGCATCGATAAATGATCATTTGCCTTGCAAAATTTTAAGCACCGATTCATCACAAGCCATATGCCGTACATCACCTTCCCCTGGAATAATTGAGGGAAGATTGAAGATGTCGTTTGATAACGGACCAAGGGAATTTAACGATTACAACTTTAAATATGTCCTTGATCCCACCGTAGAGCATGTGAGCTCGGGTCCCAGTGGTCAGATTAAAGTGCCTAAGGGTATACCGGCTGGAGGAATCCGAATTTCGGTGATTGGCACTCAATTTACAAGCATTCAAACGCCAAATATTTATGTGGTTTACAACGATGTCATGTACGCCAATCAGTGTCGGGTTCAATCGGACACAGAAATGGAATGTTCTTCACCCATAATTGATGTAGACAATAAAGTAATTATTGATGCGGAGAAGCCACTGCTTCTAGAGTACGGTTTTCTAATGGACAATGTCTTGCGCGTTCAAAATTTATCAAAAATTCACAACAACCACTTTGAACTCTATCCAAATCCCGAATATTTTATCTTTGAAGAGAGAGTCAAGTACTTTAAAAGCGAATACCTAACTATAAATGGGAGAAATTTGGATCGCGCATGCAAAGAGAGCGACGTTGAAGTCAGAATTGGAAATGGCTTCTGCAACATTACATCGCTTTCTAGGCAACAGCTTACATGCAGACCGCCTCCCGAAGCCACGGCAACGAAGAGTATTAACGGGCCCGAGGTCATCGTTCGCATTGGAAGTTCCCTAGAATATCGGCTTGGAATACTAAGTTACGAGTCTTCAAACATAATTTTGGATTGGGGAGACAACGTTGTATTCGCTGTAATTGCCACAATAGTGATAATATTGCTCTTTTTTGTTGCAACGCTTGTGGCATATAAAAAGAAGAGCTCCGAATCGAACCGGGTTTTGCGAAATATGCAGGAACAAATGGATATACTAGAGTTAAGAGTGGCTGCAGAATGTAAAGAAGCCTTTGCTGAACTTCAAACTGAAATGACTGATCTAACGGGAGATTTAACTTCCGGCGGTATTCCATTTCTCGATTATCGTTCTTATGCCATGAAAATACTGTTTCCCAATCATGAAGATCACATAGTCTTGCAATGGGAACGCCCTGAACTTTTGCGAAAAGAGAAGGGATTGCGTATTTTTGGGCAGTTGATTATGAATAAAACGTTTCTCTTGCTCTTTATTCGAACCTTAGAATCGAATCGCTACTTTTCCATGCGTGAGCGCGTAAATGTAGCCTCCCTAATTATGGTCACATTACAATCGAAACTGGAATATTGCACGGACATTCTAAAGACCTTGCTCGGAGATTTAATTGAAAAGTGCATCGAGGGAAAGAGTCATCCAAAACTATTGCTGCGGCGTACGGAAAGTGTTGCTGAGAAAATGTTGAGCGCTTGGTTTACTTTTCTTCTCTATAAGTTCTTAAAAGAGTGTGCAGGAGAGCCTCTGTATATGTTATTTCGTGCTGTCAAGGGACAAGTCGACAAGGGCCCCGTTGACGCCTGCACCCATGAAGCCAGATACTCTCTTAGTGAGGAGAAACTAATAAGGCAAAGCATCGATTTTCGACCCATGAATGTCTATGCCAGCATTATTCAACAGCCAATATTTTGCAATAATTTGGACATGTTGCCACCTCATACGGAAAACATATCTGTTAAGGTTTTGGACTGCGATACAATTGGACAGGTGAAGGAGAAATGTTTGGAAACAATATATAAAAATATACCATCTAGCCAAAGACCGAGGAAAGATGATTTAGATTTAGGTACGTCGACATCTACCTTTCCTTTTTGTATAACTTAACACTATTTAATAATTATTTGGTGGTAAATCAAAAAAATTTGTTCTATATAGAATGGCGTACGGGTGCGACAGGCCGTGTTATTTTATACGATGAAGATGTCACCTCAAAAACAGAGAATGAATGGAAGAAGCTTAACACTTTGCAGCATTATAACGTTCCCGATGGAGCTGGCCTGAGTTTAGTTCCAAAGCAAAGTTCCATTTACAACTTTAGTATTTTATCGGATAAAAATGAGAAGTCACACAAGTAAGATTCACGTACATATCAATATAAAAATTTTGTTAATAATAAAAATATTTTAAATATGTCTATAGGTATGAAACACTTAATATATCGAAATACACCTCCTCCTCTCCGACCTTTAGCCGCGCCGGCAGCCCCTTAAACAATGATATGCATGATAATGGTATGAGATACTGGCATTTGGTTAAGCACCATGATAGTGATATGCAGAAGGAAGGGGAACGTGTCAATAAATTGGTATCTGAAATATACCTTACCCGTCTATTGGCAACCAAGGGTACACTGCAGAAATTCGTGGATGATCTTTTTGAGACTATATTTAGCACCGCGCATCGTGGATCGGCTTTGCCATTGGCCATAAAGTACATGTTTGATTTTCTCGATGATCAAGCCCAGTTGCATGGTATCACAGATCCTGAGGTCGTTCATACCTGGAAAAGTAATAGTTTGCCATTAAGGTAACTATTATTATTATTTCTCAACGAATAAACTTTTTAAATTTTTCGTATTTTTTAGATTTTGGGTAAACTTAATAAAGAATCCAAATTTTGTCTTTGACATACATAAATCGAATATCGTGGACTCCTGCCTCTCAGTTGTTGCTCAAACATTTATGGATTCTTGTTCAACTTCTGATCACCGATTGGGTAATACAAATAAAGAAATAATTTGTTCATGCATTTAAAATTATTTAATTTTGTTTACAGGCAAAGATTCGCCAAGCTCGAAGCTTTTATATGCTAAAGATATACCCGAGTATCGAAAATGGGTGGATCGCTATTATCGCGACATTCGAGATATGTCGCCAATATCAGATCAGGACATGAACGCAATGCTTGCTGAAGAATCAAGGGTGAGAGTATGATTATATTAATCCCGCAGGGTTTTGTAATTTTAGTCAGAAGTTTGCAACGCAGTGACGGAATCATTTCCGACCATGTAAAGTATATACATTCTTGTTCAGAATCAACAGCCAGATCAATCTAACCATGTCCGTCTATCCGTTTCTACGGAAACTAGTCTCACTTCTGAAGCTATCTGAATAAACCATTACAGTTAGTGTTTTTATATACTCTGACTAGTGTATAAGTCGGAACGGATCGGACGACTATAGCATGTAGCTGCCATAGGAACTATCGGAATTTTTAGGAAAAGTATAACTTACAGTTTTTAGCATAGTTATACCCTTGCAGAGTATTATAATTTCAGTCAGAAGTTTGCAACGCAGTGAGGGAGTCACCTCAGACGATAAACGTATATATATTCTTGATCAGCATCAACAGCCGACTCGATCTAGCCATGTCCGTCTGTCCGTTTCTACGCAAACTAGTTTTTCAGTTTTAAAGCTATCTGAATGAAACTTTGTATTTAGTCTTCTATGTACTCTTGTATACTCGTATAAATGTTGGAACGGGCCGGATCGGACGACTATATTATATAGCTGCCATAGGAATGATCGGAAAATTTTTTAATTTTCAGTTTTCAACAGAATTTAATCAAATTTGAGGTATAGCCATTTCATATTATTCTACAATTTTGTGTAAAATTTTATGAAAATCGGACTACTATATCATATAGCTCCCATAGGAACGATCGAGAAATTAATACAATTAAAAATTATAACTTTTTCAGTTTTCAACAGACTTTCATCAAATTTGAGGTATAGCCATTTTATATAAGTCTTAAATTTCGTCTCAAATTTCATGACAGTCGGACGACTATATCATATAGGTTCCATACAAACGAACGTTTGATGTAGAGGAAAAATGCAAATCTGTGAATGTAAAACTGCAAATATAATATGTATAGGTGAATGAAATGAAAGCAGGTATTACTAAATTGTTTTTTAACACAAATATATATAATTTATATTGTATGGATTCCTAGTCATAGAAGTTCTATCTGCAAGGGTATATAAACTTCTGCGTGCCGAAGTTAGCTTCCTTTCTTGTTTTAAGAGAAATATATATATTTTATTAATTTTTAATGATCTCATTTCAATCGGCAAGGATATCCAAAAAGAAAAAAATTGTTCAATTGTACTTTTATGTTATTTCAGCTGCACACCACAGAATTTAATACAAATTGTGCTCTGCATGAGCTCTACACATACGCTGTAAAATACAATGAACAGCTGACAGTGACACTCGAAGAGGACGAGTTTTCGCAAAAGCAGCGCTTGGCATTTAAATTAGAGCAAGTTCACAACATAATGTCAGCCGAATAAAAAAAAATTCTGCCCTAAAAAACTAAAACAAAAACAAATATGATAACTATAAAATAAGCTAAATAACGAGAGCTTTTGTATTAAGCATCTAGTTGATAAAAATCATGTTTCAAAGTAGTTGTCAATAAAGCACACATTACACATTACTGCTTTTAGCTGTTTTTTTTGCAAAATTATTTATTTTATATTTTTTTTAATTAGAGTTTTTTTTCATTTTCATGTTTAGCACACATTTAAATCTAAACAAGTATATTTATATAATTTCATATTTTGTATAGTTAAAGTAAATAAAGTCTTAAATGTACTTTCTATACTAGTATAGTTTTTGAAAATTTATCAATACATCTATCATGAAATTAACATTTCGCTTTTTCCACTATATCTTTGCCACCTTTATGTCTTAGGAATTTTAATCAAAAATATTTATTTTTCATTTATTTTATTTTTGTTTTAAGGTTTTTTAATTTTAAATATGTATCTAATATTTAAAATCCTTATCTCTCTTGAACACTAATAATTTGTAAATACATCATTCAACGTGATCGTAGAAGTACATACTCAGCTTTCTAAATTTGTTATTAAAATTTATTTCAAATTCGGTCTAACGCATATCAATGATAAATATATACTTAACTATTATAAAAACATTACAATTGAAAGAACGAAATTTTTATAAAAACTTGTATAAAGAGAATGATTTCAATAGCACCGCAATTTTATATATTATTTAACATTACAATTGAAAGAACGAAATTTGTATAACAACTTGTATAAAGAGAATGATTTCAATAGCACTGCAATTTTATATATTATTTAACAGTCTTTTTTTCTCAAACAACAACGAAAACTTTATAGAAAATGTTTCGCATATTTGCTCATTTAATACTAAAAATATAATAAATGTATTGTACGTATATGTATTATGATATTAAGTAATATAATGTGAAATCAAATTTGTCAAGATAACAAATAATCCAACTTAAAAAACGACTGACTTTATTTTACATAAACTATTAACAAAATAAATATTATATTAATAGTTTCGTACATATGTTCAAAAATAATAATTTATGTATGTATAGCTTATACTTATGTGCAGTTCATAATTGGTACTAAGTCACATTCCTAATGACACTATATATTTATATATAAAGCAAAAAAAAAAATTTAAATAAACAAAAGTTCTGTGATTCTTTGAACTGTTGCGGAATAAAAAGCCTGTAAAACAATGAATATTGTGTAAATTAAATAAATAATCTCTATATTTCATCAACCAATGTATTATTTTAATCGTCCTCAAGTTTAATAAGTGCTTAAAACTTTATAAAGATGGACATCAAATTCATTACCAAAAGCCACGGACTTTAATATTGGGTTTTCAAATTTATCTTTGTTAAATAAGTATTTAAATTTATTTATAATTCATAATTGATCCTGCAAGATATGTGGTTCTTAACATATGAAATTTATGTAATAAAAATATATATTCCGTTTGTGTACTATTTAATTATGTAATTTGGAATACATAATTTTAACCAATCAATCTCTCAAGTTTATATATATTGTTTACTTCGTTATATGCTTGCGTACTACGTTCTTAAGTTCATGATCGTCATGGTTTTAGGTTTCGTTATATGCCTTATTGAAAAAGCCATTATTTTAAATTAAGAAATATTTTATATTTAGTTTACATAAAATTGCATTTCAAAACAACTGAATTTTTACTGTAATTTTTTCTATAAAGGTTCGGTAGGTTATTGTTTTTTTATTCCAACATTCATTCTTGTCAATTTAACGCTACTAAAAAAAGCTAGAACGTAAATATTTTATACTAAATGTTTCAATGTATCTTTGTATGTATCTATATGTATAAATGAACCTTTGCAATTAAATAATTGTATGAATAATAATCCTAATGGTGTATACAGTGTACATATTTAATGGATTGCTGAAACGCTATGACGGTTTATTTTCAACAAAAAGAGTTGCACATACAATTTTGTACGATTAGCAGGTTATATGGCAGAAAACTAATCAAATAATATTTATAATAATGAATTATTTTTATGGAAAAATATTTTGGAAATATTGAAAAATCGATCAATCTGAGTAATAAAAAAGGGTGAACTTAATCGAATGTTAATTTATCAATATAAGATTCAAAATGATTCAATTGATAGTAAGTTGTAATGAACATGAATCCAATAATGTGGATGCGCGATTAATTTCAATATCCACTAAATAAAAATGCCCACCAAATTTTCTATAAAATTATGAAACTTTAAAACCTACGGCTTTGAAGAGCCAAGTTAGACACATTTACCTTGTAAGCCCTTGTACAAATTTTACATTTGAACTACATTTTTCATTAAATTTTTTTATACTAAATATTTTTCCTCAAACACTAATCTGTAATTTGTTTGTGTTATTCAAGTCAAGCTATTAGGAGTTTAGGAACTTTAATCGCTATATATTTTTTACAAGGGTATTTGCAGAAAAAATGTAAGTGTGTAAATGTAAATATTTTATTACCAATGGCCTGATTAACTCTGAAAACATAAACAGAGTTGCGCCAGTATTAATTCACCATATTCTTTAAGTAAACCATAGTAATTAAATTTTATATGTGTGTATACGTGCGTGTAACATATTTAAACAAAAATATACAATTATAAACTGTGTAAAACTTTATTTAAATTTAAATCTACTGGTCTGGTTGGATAGTAGCGAAATCGTATTTTTGACCACACCATAAATAATTGTAGCAATAATGAAGTTTTTTTTATTTTTTATAATATATATATATATTTTTAAGATAAACAACCAATTAAAAGGTTGTAAAACGTAGTGACTTGGCATTAGTAACATACATAACATGAAAACAACAGCAACGATAATATAACAATTTTTTATTAAAGCTTGGCAGTAAAATAAGATAAATATTCTTCAAGCGACAAAATACAAATGGTATCTCCAGGGGTCTCGAAGGTACGTTCGTACGCAGGTTAAAAAAAAGTATATCTATTTTGTTTTTGTGTAATGAAATGAGCCGGCCGAGCGTTGGGAGCCAAGGCATGCCCATATATGTTCTAAAGCTATAACTTTACTTTTAAAATGGATTCATGTAGCTTCGAGTCTATTCCCAAGGAAATATCTGCATTTGTTTTTTTTTTTAATTGAATTAAGTTCCGGTCGCGAACATACGATTTATCCATGTCACTTTATTTATTTTTTTTTGTTTTGTTATTTTACCACTACTTTTTTTTTATAAATAAGTTAATGTTTTGTATTTTCAATTTTTACTTCTTTTTAGATCGCAATAAAGAGATTTGGTAAAAAAAAGTGCAAAAAGAAAAGCATATGATACCTTTTTTAAAAAAGGAATAATATATATTTTTTTCGGTCAATTCTTCAATAAATCCATCGATATATGCTTTGGATCCATTGCAAAAGACGATGACAATGAATATTTTCGTTTTCAGTGCTGGTTGACCATTTGGCGGATTTACTCATATAAAAAAAGGTACCGAAAGAAGAAGAAAATTTTTCAGAAAACAGCTGTTACCTAGCTGGCTTCAGCGGCCAGTGTGACCGTTTTCGCGCATTTTCTTTAATTTTTTTGGTCGCACTGGTTACAAAGCTAAATAAATAGCTATTTCGCTATCTATATTCTTCAATCAGATTTATCTTTTGTTAGTACCAAGCTTTATTAAAAAAACTAGTATACTTTTTTTGCAATGATGATAAATTAAAAAAAATATATACATTTACAATAAAAAAAATTTAATTCCGCTTCCCCCAATTCCGCATCTGATCAGCATCTGTTCCCTCCTATCAAAAGATCTCTTCTCTTCAGCCATCGTTTATACATCGGGCTTGCCAATGAGGTGGATGGTGTGGGCCTGAACCACCTTCGTTGTAGCGATTTTGATCGACTTTATGATCGTGCACAACGCTCGGTTTTGGACTCTATGTAATCTCATAATGTTTGAGTCGAACTGCGTACCCCATATTTGGATGGATGGAGGCTTAACTTGCATCTTGACTTAATCATCCAGTTTGGCTTTGTAAACCGAGTGCATAATACGGGACATATGTAAAACAATACCTTGTTGAACTTCAGCTAGACTGCATCTGAGGTTGACCTTTCACCTCTCACTTCAGCAGATACGACTTTAGGAGGAGGTATTGCGAAATTGGTAGCAGGCTTTTAAGTTTGCAAAGTAATCCACTATGCCACACTCACTCGAAGGCTTCTTCTAGACTGACTGCGACTTCTAACGAGTCGACGCTCTGCCGACTGCGACTTCTACTACGATGCTCTGCGCACGATACAGTTTCGACGGTAGTCCAGACGGCAGTCGTCGGCAGTACCGGCCGTTGATGAATTTTGTTGATGAAACTTAGATGATTTGTTGATGAAACATCGATGAATTTGTTGATAAAACATCGATTAATTTTTGTCGAAACATCGATGAATTGTTGATGAATCATCATGAATTATTGATGAATTTTTGTTGTTGACAGCCTAGGAAAGGCCCATGTTAAATTCATCATCAGTTTGTATGGCCTTTCATCGATGAATCATCAACACCACCCCCTTGAATGTTGATGAATTACTGATGACTGGTACTGCAGGGCGGCGCGAAGAAACGCACCCCTGCTCATCGTTCAGCGGTCGATCTGCGAGTTAAAAGTGAATTCTTGTTGTGCTTGCTTTCGAACGAATGCTTCGAACTCGAAACAGCCGAACGCACTTTGGGGTTTTAGATATTCCGTTCGGGTGCTCTGGGGTTCCAGGCTCAGCCGTTTTTATGATAGTACTTTTGGTTCTGTTTGACTTCTCTATGTATTATATTTCTTGCTTAGTGGTAAGACGCAACAAGGTTCGCCGGTTTGCCCGGCCGTGGTATCATCGATATCACAGCGCAATTTCATTGTGTGGGGAAGTGGTGGATACCTAACATGGAATTGAACATTGGCACAAGAAGTAATATACATTTTTTTGGCAGTTCATTGGAAACTGTTATCGATGCCGTCGAATATTGGAAGTTTAACTGGAGTGCAGTTTTTGAATTTGAAAACAAACTTCTTTTGGACTTACATGACGAAGGGCTCTACGTCTGGATAGGCAGTATATAGGAATGCCAGTGTTGCTATAACGTCACCATGCTTTGGCTAAAAACGGCCTTCTAGTTCGTCAGCAAAAGCCAAGGAAATTTCTGCATCTGATGTGCACCAAGTGTTGTCACCACGGTATAAAGGGATTCTGCGAGGGGGCGCCGTCTTACTGTCCTTGCTACTTTCCTGATGTAAAACCCATACGGTTTTGCAGGATCAGCATTGAGTAGCAGATAGGCGAAATAAGTCTTTCCATACAGTCAGGACAACATTTATTCGGGCGCTCTGTATTACAAAGGTCAGAAGACTATTTGTCTGAACTTTCATAATTTTAACAACTTTTTTTGTACGTTTTAAGGAAACAGTTATTTTCTAAAGATATTTTACAAAAAAAAATTTTCTATTAGTTTTAAAAGTATTGAAACGAAAGCGAAAAAACTGCCAAAAATGGAGCACAAAAATTATTTGTACATTTCTCATTTAGTGTCTTCTATTTCTAAATGCAATGGTAATCGGACATTTTTTTTAACTTTACTTGGAATTAGTTCGGAGTTGGCTTCGGTGTGCTTTTTATTTGTCTCTAGACTTACGAAAATCCATTCTCAAATTAAATTTGGAAAACGATTACGATTCGTGAGTTACGAATAGCTCAACGTAAAACGATCAACCTAAAACCAAAACGAAGAGAACGAGAGACAGAGGATGAATTAATGTTTTTATGCCATTGCTCTATTATAATATTAGTCAGAAATATTCAACGCTGTGCCGGAATCATTTCCGAACATATAAAGTATATATATTCTTGATCAGCATCAACAGCAGAGTCGACCTAGCCATATCCGTTTGCCCATTTCTCCGCAAACTAGTTTCTCAGATTTAAAGCTATCTGAATGAAATTTTGCATTTTGTGTTCTATAAGAATTTTTAAACAACAATTTTTAATTTTTCGTTTTTAATAGAATTTAATCAAATTTCAGATATTGCCATTTTATATTTTACATTAGTTTAGATTAAATTATTAATTATTTAATAATTAATTAATTTAATTTTCTGAAAATCGAACGTCTATATCATGAATGTAAAAGTGGTGAAACTAGGTAAATCAATTTTAATTTATGAAAATTGGACGACATTTACAGTTTTGGATTTTCATTTATATCTATATCTACAAATATAAATTACACCTATATGTGAATGAAATGAAAGCAGGCACTTCTTCATTGGTTTTTAACATAAATATATATAATTTAATTGTATAAATTCCTAGTGATCGAAGTTCTATCTGCAAGGGTATAAAAACATCGGTGTGCCGAAGAATTCTCCCATTATTGTTTTTTTCTGTTTTTCTTATGAGAAGAGCGTAAAGTACGGTATGCAAAGGGTAAAATTGTTTGCGAGCGCATTTTTGTTCGGCATTTTTAGAGGGCTACAATTGCGGTCATACATTGTTGACCCGCCTATTTTTAAAATTAAGGCCATTTCAACATTTATTTCTTAGTTTTTGATTAATAATTGTCCCATAGCGATTGACCTGCATTCTAGCAGTAGCGCCTCCTTGGAAAGCTACCAGACCCCTTAATATTATAGCCACTCCAAATACCTGAACAAGGAACTGAGATGCTTCCATACGAGTGGATCGGTCTCCGGTTTATTTAAAAACATGGTGGCACCAGTCGCTATACCTATGCATATACTCCCTCGACGCACTCATCGGATGAGACTCGGATAAAGTTGGCAATGGTTTCCAATATTGTCTCCGTTATCGACATGGCAAATGTCTGGCGTTTTATAATCTATTCCAGAAGCATCGAGATCTCTCAAATCATCAATTCGAGCTGTGGAGCTGTCCCATTTTGTCTTTGCTGGCCAAGATATATTATATATGTATTTCTCTTCCCTACAAAATATTATATATCTCGAAATATTGTATTTTCCTGTACTAAGTTAAATATATTAACTGTATCAGCTCTTCTGAACTTCTGAATTCATTTTTACCGCACATTTTTTGTTAATGCAGGGATCTCTAATTTAAAACAAAGCTAAGAAAATGCAAGTGAGAGCGAGAGATTTGTATTCTTTTTGCAAGCCCCCCCGCAAAATAATAAATGTGTGCCGTCAGGAATCTCCTACCGCAATCCAACTTTCTAGTATTATTTCGTGTCTCCGTAGAGGCCTTTAAAACGGAGCTGTCAAACAGCCGTTTTTAACTATTTGCTTCTCGCTATCTCTCACTGCTTGTAAACGTTGTTTTACCCTTTCCATACCGTGCTTAACAGTAACAGTTATTTGCAAGCTGTGCTAATTTATGTTAGTACTAATCAAAGACGATGTGAGGAAATTTTCTTAAAAAAAAATATTTGGTATTTTATCGAAAATGCTGTAGATGTGAGCCATACATTATGAAAATTTTAAACTTGAAAGTTTTTTTTTGGTATTTTTTAGTTCGTTTTTGTTTGCATCCAATGTGTCGTATTCGTGTGCGCAATTCTAACAAGCCTTGAATTAGACCGAAAAATGTTCGCGTTACGTGCTGCCGCCAAAGCCGATAAGAGTTTGGTTCCCATTTTGGGACAACTGAGTAAGTAACGATTAAAATATTGTTTTAATATTACTTATTTGGGAGTATGTTTAACGATCGTATAATTCTTAATTCTAAAATAATGTATAGTTTCAAAAGAAAAAAGGTAATCGAACATAACCTTAATACGATGATGTGCTGCTGTTACGACGAACAGAAGAGAAATGATTGCATAACATTTGAACTTTAACTAGTTATTTTAATTTCTTTATTTTTATAGATAGTAAAAAATGCTTACGTTTTTTAAATGTAATTAAAATTTATATTTTCTTTCAATTGATTTTTAAATGTTTTTAAAAACGAAACTAATTTTTCTGAAAATACAATAAAATATAGGTAGATAAAAATTTACATCTACCTATACTTTACTTTGCAGCTTAATTTACTTATTTTTTCAAACAAAAACGAACCGCATTATTTGTTCCCGATTCTATATGACGTAATAATACATTAAGTTGATATTTAAATGTGTATGTAATTTTAGGCTTTAGTTTAAACTAATAAGCTTAAACTAAGCTCAATGTTGTATAGATTTCGCAGGCGCAATGAAATATAACTTCTGTGTAAATAATTTTTTACATATCTGTAATTTTAAGCTCGTGGTCATGCTGCCAAGGCCGCTGCTAAGGCTGCCGCCGGAGCCAATGGTAAGATTGTGGCAGTGATTGGTGCCGTCGTTGATGTCCAATTCGATGACAATTTACCGCCAATCCTGAATGCCTTGGAAGTGGACAACCGTTCGCCACGTTTGGTCCTTGAGGTGGCTCAGCATTTGGGAGAGAATACTGTGCGCACAATCGCCATGGACGGTACTGAGGGTTTGGTTCGCGGTCAAAAGGTTCTCGATACTGGTTATCCAATTCGAATTCCTGTTGGCGCAGAGACCTTGGGACGTATCATTAATGTCATTGGTATGTACATGTTATTGTATTTGCAATAAAAATATTAATATTATTTTTTTTTTCAGGTGAACCAATTGATGAACGTGGTCCCATTCCTACGGACAAAACGGCTCCCATTCATGCCGAAGCTCCAGAATTCGTTGAAATGTCTGTTGAGCAGGAGATATTGGTAACCGGAATTAAGGTCGTGGATCTGTTGGCTCCATATGCCAAGGGTGGTAAAATTGGCTTGTTTGGCGGTGCTGGTGTGGGCAAAACGGTGCTAATTATGGAACTGATTAACAATGTAGCCAAAGCTCATGGTGGTTACTCAGTTTTTGCCGGCGTTGGTGAACGCACTCGCGAGGGCAACGATTTATACAATGAAATGATTGAGTCCGGTGTCATTTCTCTGAAGGATAAGACCTCTAAGGTGGCACTTGTCTACGGCCAGATGAATGAGCCCCCAGGCGCTCGTGCACGTGTTGCTCTCACTGGTCTGACTGTCGCAGAGTACTTCCGTGATCAGGAGGGACAGGATGTTCTCCTCTTCATTGACAACATTTTTAGGTTCACGCAGGCTGGTTCCGAAGTGTCTGCCTTGCTTGGACGCATTCCTTCAGCGGTGGGATATCAGCCAACATTGGCCACCGATATGGGTTCTATGCAGGAGCGCATTACTACCACAAAGAAGGGTTCGATTACATCCGTGCAGGCTATCTATGTGCCAGCTGATGACTTGACGGATCCGGCTCCAGCAACTACTTTTGCCCATTTGGACGCCACCACTGTGCTGTCGCGTGCCATTGCCGAGTTGGGCATTTATCCGGCTGTGGATCCTTTGGATTCCACATCTCGTATTATGGACCCCAATATCATTGGACAGGAGCACTACAATGTGGCTCGTGGTGTTCAAAAGATTTTGCAGGACTACAAGTCCCTTCAGGACATTATTGCTATCCTGGGTATGGACGAGTTGTCGGAGGAGGATAAGCTGACTGTGGCACGTGCAAGGAAGATTCAACGCTTCTTGTCCCAGCCATTCCAAGTCGCTGAAGTTTTCACCGGCCATGCCGGCAAGCTGGTGCCCCTGGAGCAGACCATTAAGGGTTTCTCGCAGATTCTGGCTGGAGAGTATGATCATTTGCCGGAAGTGGCCTTCTACATGGTGGGGCCCATTGAGGAGGTTGTGGAGAAAGCTGATCGGCTGGCAAAGGAGGCCGCCTAAAGGAAAAACATAACTGGCGAATGTTTAAATAATCGATAAAATATGGATTCAAATTGATAATAAAAATAATCTATGACATAGAAATCAATTCGATACAACTCAATAAATCCTATTTAAACCATATTTCCGAAATTGTTTTTTATTTAAGTTTTTGCAAAAAAAAAAAAGAAAATCTAAAAAGGAAGCTAAAGTTCGACGAAGTTTATAAAACCTTGCAGATTGTAATTAGATTATTAATATGTAATATAATATTATTATATATATATACATATATCATAAAAACCAAAAAGTAATGCCTACATTCGTTTCATTTACCTATAACTGTTACACTCTTACATTCACAATTTCTCATTTTCCTCTACATTTATCTTTCTATGACAGCTTTATGATACAGTTTTCCGATTTTCATAAAATTAAATCTGAAATTCGGAAATTAAAAAAAAACAAGAAAGGAAGCAAACTTCGGCACGCCGAAGTTTATATACCCTTGCAGATAGAACTTCTATGAATAGGAATCCATACAATAAAAATTATATATATTTGTGTTAAAAAACAATGAAGTAATACCTGCTATCACTTCATTCACCTATACATATTATATTTGCAGTTTTACTTTCACAGATTTGCATTTTTCCTCTACATCAAACGATCGCTTGTATGGCATCTATATGATATAGTCGTCCGATTTTCATGAAATTTGACACCAAATTTAAAGACTGATATAAAATGGCTATACCTCAAATTTTATGAAAATCTGTTGAAAACCGAAAAAGTTATAATTTTTAATTGTATTAATTTCTCAATCGTTCCTTTGGGAGCTATATGATAGAGTAGTCCGATTTTCATAAAATTTTATGCAAAATTGTAGAGTATAGTAAAATGGCTATATTTTAAATTTGATCAAATTCTATTGAAAACTGAAAAAGTTAAAAATTTTTTTGTAAAAATTTTCCGATCATTCCTATGGCAGCTATATGATATAGTCGTCCGATCCGGCCCGTTCCGACATACATATATACGAGTGAGAGTATATAGAAGGCTAACTACAAAGTTTCATTCAGATAGCTTCAAAACTGAGAGACTAGTTTGCGTAGAAACGGACAGATGGACAGAAGGACAGACGGACATGGCTAGATCGACTCGGCTGTTGATCCTGATCAAGAAAATATATACTTCACATAGTCGGAGGTGCCTCCTTCACTGCGTTGCAAACTTCTGACTGAAATTATAATACCCTGCAAGGGTATAAATATCTTACATCTATGAGTAGATAAAAATGATTTGAAAACCATCTGTCGATGACAGAAGAGAGAGAGAAATAGATAAGAAAAGAGAAGAGCTAAGAGCGCAGCAGGTGCAGACATACACCTATGCGCGCATAATTAGGCACTAGCGGTATGCTACGAACACATATATATACTTTATAGGGGCTTTCAACGTGTCAAAATTTTCTACTTAACCTATAATACCTGGCAGGCGTATAAAAAGGAAGCTTTTTATACAAAAAACTAAAAAGGAAGCTAACTTCGACACGCCGTCGTTTTTATACCCTTGCAGATAGAACTTCGATGACTAGGAATTAATACAATTTGAGTTATATATTCTTATGCTAAAAAACAATGAATTAAGGGTTGCTTTCAATTTCAATTTATACACCTTTAGATATTATATTTTCAGACTTACATTCAAAGTTTTGCATTTTCGTATATATTTAACGATCGTTTGTATGGAAGCTATATGATACAGTAGTCCGATTTTTAGAAAATTTTACAAAAATTTTTAGAAATAATAAATAAAAATTTTACAAAAAATTTAAAAAAAATATAAAATGGTGGCTATATATAAAATTTGATAAAAATCTGTTAAAAACTAAAAAAGTTATAATTTGTTATTGAATTATTTTCTTAATCGTTCCTATCGCATCTATATGATAGATTAATTCGTTTTTTATAAAATTTTACACAAGATTGTAGAAAAATATAAAATGACTATAGCTATAATTTTATAAAAATCTGTTGAAAACTGAAAATTATATTTTTCGTAAAACTTTTCTTGTTCTTCCTATGGCAGCTATATGAAAAAGTCGAGTATATAAACTAGTTTGCGTAGAAACGGACAGGCGGACATGGCTAAATCAACTCGTTTGTTGATGCTGATCAAGAATGTATATACTTTATATGGTCGGAGGTTACTCCACTGCTTTGCAAACTTCTGATTGAAATTATAATTCCCTGCAAGGGTATAACAAGAAAGAAAGCCGAGGTTAGTATACCCTTGCAGAATTTATCACTAGGAATTAATACAAAAAAGTAATCTCTATACCTACAATTTGATGAAAATCTGTTGATAACTGAAAAATGTATAATTCTTTTTTCCAAAAACGTTTCGATCGTTCCTTTGGCAGCTATATGACATAGTCGTTCGATCCGGCTTGTTCCGACTTATACTTATATGAGAGTAGTTTCATTCAGATAGCTTTAAAACTGAGACTAGTTTGCGACAAAACGGACAGACGGCCGCTAGCACGACTCGGCTCTTGATCCTTATTAAGAATATGTAGACTTTTAAGGGTCGGAAATGTTTTCCTCACTGCGTTGCAAACTTTTGACTAAAATAATACCCTGCAAGGGTATAAAGGTGTGTATATCTAGTCGAGTCGATCTAGCCATGTCCGTCTGTCCGTTTCTACGCAAACATGTCTCCAAGCTTAAAAGCTATTTGAGTGAAACTTTGTAGTTTGTAGTTATATACTCTAATTCGTTTATATGTCGGAACGGGCCGGATCGGACGATTATATCATATAGCTGCCATAGGAATGATCGGAAAATTACAAAAAAAAAATTTTACATTTTAATTTTTCCACAGAATTTGATCAAATTTGAGATATAACCATTTTATAATATTCTAAAATTTTCATATAGCTCCCATAGGAACGATCGAGAAATTAATACAATTAATTAATTCATTCAGTTTTCAACACATTTACATTAAATTTAAGTTATCGCCATTTTATATTATTCTACAATTTTGTGTAAAATTTTATGAAAATCGGACTACTATATCATATAACACAAAGAGGAACGATCGTTGGATATAGAAAAATGAAAATATGTGAAGGTAAAACTGTAAATATATGTATATGTGAAGGAAATGAAATCAGGTATTACTTCATTGTTTTTTAATATATATATATATATAATTTATATTGTATTGATTCCTAGTCATCGAGGTTCTGTGGGCAAGGGTATATAAACTTCGGCCTGCCGAATTTAGCTTCCTTTCTTGTTTTAGCTTGAAATGTATATTTGTACTGACGAAATATATGTTAAAACTTCATTAAGGAACAGGTTTTCACAAGGGACGACCCTCTTAAACTTAAACTATTAAACTAGATATGGTTAAGTTGATTTGACTGTATAATGACGATGGTAATGCTGTGAGGTGAAAAATAAGTTTTAGAATTTCCTTTAAATTTGCTTTATTTTTTACATAATACACTAAATATTGTTGCTTGCATATATTCCTTCATAATGCATCTATGAATCAGAAATCTGTAAATGAATAAGTGTCCATAACGAAATATACGGTATACTCGGTTACTCCTGAACATTCACACCAATCTTTCCTTTCTTTTAATAAGTAAATTTTTTATTACAAATTTAAATGTTTGCCATCCGCATATCTCTCAGTTCGCTTCGTCGTTGAATATAAGGTTGAAGAAGGGATTAAGACTTTTTACAGCAACGCCTGTTTAATAAAACATAAGGACAATATTGAATAATTAGCAATTTTAATTAATTTTAAACAATTACCCTTCCCAGCTGACTGATCCTTTGAATCGCGCCACTTGCATAACGACTCCTTTTGTATTACAAAGGCGTCATATAACTCTCCAAATAGTTCGCTCAGTAATCCTGAAAAAAATTAATTTTAACAATGCAAAGTGACCTGTATATTTTGTATTCATACCCCTTGGATGCTCCAAACTATGCACTAATAGCTGCATCGCATACAAACACTCCAATTGATGAACTTCATTTAAATCAATAAAGTGCTGCAAAACTGGTATGCAAAACTTATGGAAGGTTTCAGTTTCTAGTTTGTAACTATTCTCCTTGTACAAAATTGAAAAGTTGCTCAGCGATTTGGTTAAGCTTCTTATAAACAGTTTATCAACGACCATTATGTTGCCCTTAAACATAATAAACGAAAAACCTAAGTTATTTAAAGGAATTAAAGGAATAGGTGAATTCCATACATTACTATAATCAATGATACAATCTGCTGTTGTTCCTTCTCTCAGCAAACGCTCAATATTCTCTATCACATTTTTAACGTGCTTCTCGGACGATTCACCATCGTATTCTTCAATCACTGGCGATATCGATTCATTTTCCACATATTCCAGTCTCTAAAACGAATAATGATGTATAACAGTTCAATTAAAATATTTCGTCCCATTAAGAGACAACAAAAATTACATTGGATTTGATGAAGTCGTTGACTTCATTCTCTGGCATAAAATCAGACCAATGCAAGGAGAACTTAGTCCACATGCTGCGCGTGAAATTTGGTCCAACTTCCTGCGTGCAATAAATCAAATATGTTTTAAGGAACTTCTTAGCCACACTAGTTGGGCTGTTGTCTTTTAGGTTCTTGTTCCACAAATCTGATACTGTCAAAACTTTCTTCACAATTAATGGACCTGTACAAGAACAGAATATGTAAGATTGTATCTTTACCATCAGTATAAATTCTTCAAAGTATTATTGTTATGGATACTATTTACCTGCAAATTGTAGAATATACAGCCATAGTTCTGGTATATCAACAATTAAGTCATTTGCGTAACCGCTAAATTCGTTGTACGCCAGCGTAAAATGCTCCACAGAAATATAGTTCTGTTGAATTAATTGTCCAACAGTTATGCCAAGATACCGGCGATACTGTTTGCCCACATTCGCTAAATGCAAATAATCGGTTAATATATAATATAAGAAGCCGCAACGACGATCCTCCGGTATTCTTTTTACACACGCGACAACCGCAGGCGTTACTGTTTTCGCTGCGTCCGCAAATTCAATCATTTCAGAGATAACCGACTTGATAAGCTTCAGATCGGCATCGCTGGGTTCTTGAAACACAGCAGGAGGCGCGGAGACAGCAGTTCGATTGCTTTGCTGCGGGAACGTCGTCGCTGGAGTAGAAACTAAGCCTGATCCTTGCTCATTGCTACCGCGACGGTAAATTCCACGTTCTGCGTTGCCGCTGGAGTTTGATTGTACCTAAAAATAATTGATAACTGATAAGATGAAGAAATTATGCTTAGCCCCTTGCAGGGTAAGTATAATTTGACCAGAAACTGACAACGCAGTGAAGGAGTCATTTCTGATATTTATGTGGTATTCAAGGTATACAAAATTCATCGTGCCGAAGTTAGCTTTTATAAAAGATAACAAAAAATTAGTCTCACCTTATTGCTATTGTTGTGTCGAACCGAGGTCGGCGGCTGCTGTTGCGTATATTTTGAATGACTAGCCGACTTTTGAACTGCAGAATTTATTAGCGTGCGACCTCCTCCCTGCTGACGCGAGGAGGAACTCTCGCGCGATCCTTGCGATGAGCCAGTTCGCGAACTTATACCTTTGTAAATTATTATTTATTATCATCTTCGTGCTAAAAAAATAAGAAAAAAGTACCTCGATCGTAACGATCACGTTCAATTGATCCCTTGTTATAGGAACCCTTATTTCTTGGTCCACGATTATCGTGATGATGATCCCGATCGCTGCTGCTACTGTTTTTATCAATTAACGAGGACAGAACAGCAAAGGGATTTGATGGTGTTGACGATGGTGCCGCAGAACCCGCCGATGATAATGATTGCCTTGCATTGGGGTTCCAAATAAATTGCGTTACGCCGCCCATTTTTTTAGTTTCCAAATTTTGATCAGAAAGTTTTGACTGTAAATTAAAAATAATATACGAAAAAATAAAGAATAAAAAATATATTTAACAATAAATAATAACTTACCAGACCCTCTAATTTATTGCTGTCAACAGCTTGAGAGCGACTACCCTTGCTTGTTTGCACATGCCAAGTGTTGTCATCGCCTCCATTTGAGGCGCTTCCGGAGCCACCTCCTCCACCGCTGCCACCACCACCTCCTCCAGAGTTATTCTGCTGTTGATGATGCCCTCTCTGACTGTGACTACCACCGTAATTACTACCGGAACGTGTCTCGTTTCCATACCGTGAATTCATATTACGATCATCTCTCTTATTGGAACCTCCGCCGCTTTGCGATGAACCAATAGGTGTAGAATTTCCTGATATGTTGCCAAAATACTGTGCTGTTAGCTGTTCATTCTTTGCCTCTTTCTCAATTTGACCCATCGTCTTCGGTGCCTCATTTCGAGTTGTTTGCCATTTATTTTTGCGTAAATCAATGACATCTTGAAGCATGAAACGAACCCGAGAGCTGACTTTGGCACCATCCTTATCAGTTTTGGCGGCAATGGCTTGCATTCTAGTTATGGATTTCTCTAAGGAATAACAACGTCCTGGATCTTTGGAGTTGACAGGAGTTTGCTCGAACTTAGCGCCGACTGTTGTTAACAATTTGCAAAGACACTCTAGCATATCCTCCGAATGGGGATTAAGTAATGTATCTATACAGGAATAAATAATTTTTCCAGTCAACATGGAGATTTTGAAGAGTTCACCTATGAAACGAACAGTTCCACCAGATCTCCGGCGTATTTTACGTTCTTCCTCCTCTAAAAAGGCCTCGAGTTCCGCCTTCTCATTTGGATCGCTGCATTTTCGTATTTTATCTACAATTGGCTGTAATTTTTTTTCCTTTGCCGTACTCTGTGAGACGTTTTGAGTGAATTCCTGTTCTGTTTTATCCAATAAGGCATTACGAAAGTGTGCCAAATTGGACTTCGTTCCACTTTCCATCCGTTCATCACGAGTCTTGACTTCTGCTATAAGACGATGACAAAGTCTTGCGTAGGAAACCGAAAAATTTGGTTCGTCGATTGCTTTTTCAAAGACCAGCACTATAACTTCGTCCATTTTATCAGGTGTATCGATTTTTAGTTTAATTATCTCCTCAACTAATGTATCGAATCTCTCGGGTGTTAATTTATTCAAAATACCACGCACTCGTCTTACCAATTCATCCTTTTCTTGGGTGGCCTTCAGGTTACTATCATTTTCTGTTATCGATAATTTATTTAAGAGTCTCGGTCGCCAGGCATTTTCGTTCTCATTTAACTTAACATCTTGATTTAATGACAGGTTAACATGAATCATCATGCCTTTCATGCTACTGTTGCGGCCACCAGAACCTTGACTTTGGCCTTGAACACCCGACATAGATAGCTGTTTTCCAATATAACCTCCTGCCGATGGATCTCGATTGCCGATCATGCCGACCATTGATTGTACTCGCTTATTATTATTATTATTCCGGATAAACGATGGCATAAGATTGGGTTGCGGAAGTATAGACACATTTTTTACCTCTGGCTGTATGCGTGAGGCTTTTGCTTCGCGTAACTGCATTAGTTGATCACGATTGTATTGTTTTCTTCCATCGGGATTACTCGGTGACCATTGGCCTTCATTATAGTTAATGTAGGTCGGTAAAATTTTTTCTTTTTCAAGAGAACAGGGCTTAATATCAAGTTCTGCTGAATCGTTCTCAGTGAGATACGTTTTTGCCGAAGGAGTTTCTATTTGTGTTTCTATCTCATTTGTTGTATTTTCTGGTGATTCTAGTGCTTGCTCTTTCTCCTCTAAAGGAAGAACAACTTCCTTTAATGCCATAGATGATAGTGAAGACTGATCAGTTTCATCAGATTGCTCTTTACTTGGATTTTTACCTAAACTTTTTTTTTCTTCTGCAATATCAACGAAAACTTTTGGTTCAGACTGCGGAGTGCTATCTTGTAAAACTTCAAGCGGTTTTTCATCTTTATGACTCTTCTTGATTTCAGACTCTTGAATATTTTTCGCTAACAAATCTTCTTCTGTTGAAAGTATCTTTTCTTCTAAAGTAAACTCGCTAGTTGTCGTTTCCGGAACTACAACAGCTGCCTCTTCAGCTTCAACAGGTGTCACAACGTTCTCCGTTGTCGATGTCGAATGTTTCACTTCGACCGCGATAATTTTAGGATTAATCAGAATTTGCTTTATTGGCTGCTCCTTGACCTTTAGTTCAGCGTCATCTTCGGTTTCAACTAAAATATAAAAAGAATTCACAATTTAACAAACATTCGTTAAAAATGTTGGCTTAAGTTAAAGAAAAAGATTATCTTTAAGAAAGAGTAAAAAACATGTATAACGTGAATTCGTTGCAAAAAGGCCACCATACAAAAACGAGCTTGAACTTTTTTCAGATTGTTTGTTCATTTTGGGACTTAAGCCCCAGACTTTTGACATGCTGATCAAGAATATAATAATAATTTGTGTCTTTAAGAATGTCCACATATCAACATTGTAGGCTCTAAAGATATCTGTAAATATATATGTACATATGACGGAGGTTCGTGGAAATTCTAGGCCATTTTCTTAAGGGGGTAGACCACCCTGAACGCATGAAAATTGGAGGGTTTTTCAAAAATTCATTTTGACTAAGGTATTGGGAATACAACTTTTTATTTATTAGTACATCAAAGTACATATGTTAAACTAAAAAATACTTATTTAAAGAAAAAAATATTTACGAACCTCGGAGATATAGCCAGTCAAAAAACGAATTTTTTTTAGGGAATGGTCGGATGGTGTACATGCTGCACACCACATTTGTTATCCGAAATTCAAAAACAAACATTTTTTATAAGCTATATAAGTATGGCTATAGCAAAATTTTTGATTTAAAAATTTATAACTTTAAAACAAAAAAACAAATCAAAAAATCCTACGTCATGCCATAGAGGGCATTATAGAGAAGCTGTGTAAAAAATTTGAAGAGAATCGGTCCGGCGGTTTTTGAGAAATCATGTACACCGTTTTAAAAAACGTTGTTTTGAGAAAAACGCATAAGAAGATAAAGAAAGTACTCTACGGTATACCGGCAGCGCTCACTTCTAATGGCTGTAGAATCCACAAGTAACGAGATATTTTTAAGCCCGATGTCTTAAAATGACCGTAAGAATATCAGCGTCAAGATTGATTAAAAAAAAAAAAAATAGATTTTTAAAAAATGTCAGGGTGGTCTACCCCCTTAAGCGCAACGAGTTCCGATGTGTTCTCTCTGAAGGTCTAGCTGCAACTGCTTTTTGTTTCTTAAATTTGTTTCTGTATTTACAAATATAATAAGGGCCATTCCAAATGACCAGCACATACACACTCATATGAATGTAATACACGCCGACACGGTCATCGAGATCTTCCCACATCCTCGTTTGCTTAACATAGTTTTGTTCCTACATATTTCTATTGTCGAAACTTCCTATTTATTCAAACCACCTTTCCGCTATTCATATGGTTTCCAGTAGTCTTTTGCATAGAGACCAGTTGGTACTCCTAGGTTTTTGATTTTAATATCCCTGGTGCTATTTGGTGCTCAAAAATTTCCACCAATACTCTCTCCTAACTTCTACACAACATGACTTTATCGCTGGCTTGTTCGACATTTCGCTGTCACAAGTCAACCATGTGCGAAATTCCTTCTTTCCTTCCTGCGAGAGTCAGTTTAGCCACAGTGGCCCGAATATCCGTATCATCCAATTTTCGATGTGACTCTTGATATTGGGTCTGACTTACAGAATATGTCTGACCGTTTGAACGGCTGAACAATTTTATATATGAGTTCATGGCTTTGCCTCTTCTGTCAAGATCAGACGTATACTTCTCCAAACTCTAAACTGAAAACATACAAGTAAAAACCAACAAAAACTACCAACAACTGCAAGTGCAAGTGAAAGTGCAGGTACAAGTGCAAGAGAATTAAAAAACTACCAACGGCACAAGACAGAGTCGTAGGGATGGGGGACACCACCGACCCCGACCCATCAAATGCTGTAACAACTGGACAGCTCCTGAAACCCCAGGACCTAAATATCTAATTATCTCCAGATCTGACCCCGGCCTTGACCTCAACAACGTTAACCCTTTCCTCGTTAAAAAACAAATTGATTTTGAATGTGGTGGAGAAATTGAAGAATGCAAGAAACTCCGCAACGGATCACTGCTCATTAAAACAAAAACAAATGTACAAGCGTTGAAACTCATGCAGCTCAAAGCTTTCGCTCCCACCATAAACGTCAGTCACACTACACAGCTTTCTTAACTCCACCAAAGGTGTAATATACTCCAACGACTTAAGAGGAATTGAAGAGAACACCATAATACAAGAACTAGCGGCACAACAAGTAACTGACGTCCGGAAGATATTAAAACGAGACAACGGCTCTCTTAAAGAGACTGGACTCATTATTGTCACCTTTAACACACACAACCTTCCCGACTTCATCATGATTGCCTACCAGAGAACAGCGGTCAGGACCTGTATCCCTCTGCCGCTAAGATGTAACAATTGCTACAAATTCGGCCATCTCCTCTAGCAGAAAATGCCCAGTATTTCTCACGCAACAAGAGCTTCAAGCCATAAAAACGACACACAAATGCGACAACAAAACAGAACACGCAATCCTCAAGGCCCGCATCTCAGATAACACACCGCACTCCTACTCATCTGTCACCAAGAACCAAAATTCCCAGCAATGCCGGAACGCAGATGGACCTCAACAACTCAAAGGACCCGGACTCAACAACCACGAAATAACCTCTCCTAGATCACCATCTACATCATACGCCGACATCTACCCCAGCTCCAGTAACAACTTAACCAATAAGATTACCTCCTCCACAACCACTAAATCCCCAAACAAATCCATAAAAATCCTACCCCTAAACACACCTAAAAGATTACTTGCTTCCATGAAAAAGATGCTAAAAAACCTAAGCCAAACACCAAAAGTAACTCTGACGCATCTAGCGACTTAGGGGAAATGAACACATATTAATCAAAAACAAATCAAACAACTAACCAAAACATGTTAAAAATTATAAAATGGAATATCAAAGGCTACAGAAACAACTACCCAGAATTACAAATCCTCATTAAGCAGCACCACCCCCAAATCATAACACTCCACGAAACCCACCTCACTAATACATCTTCCCTACCAATCCCCATAAACTTCTCCCTATACTGCAGTGACAGCACTAACGCTTTCGGAGGAGCAGCACTTTTGGTGCATAACTCCATCTCACACTCCCATAAAACCCTCAGCCCAGACTTTGAAGCCACCTGTCTCGAATAACTCAAAAAGAAAAATAGATCTCATATCCACATACATTTCCTCTGCCAAACAATTCAACATTAAAAACTTAGAAAATGTTCTAACCCCGACATCCCCCTCTACTATCGTACTAGGAGACTTTAAGAGCTGGCATCAATATTGGGGCTCCCCTAGATCCAACTCCAGAGGCAACACAATTGCAAAATACATTGACAGATCCAACTACACATTACTAAATAACAAATCGCCAACACAGTGTTCGACACACAACACATTTACGCACATTGACCTCTCTCTCGTCACAGCCAATATCTCCCCAGAGATCTACTGGAGAGTCCTCAATGATCTACACGGAAGTGACCACTTGCCTATTCTAATCTCAATATTCCCTTCACTTTCATCCCCAACGCACACATCCAAACCCTCCTTCAATCTTAAAAATGCCAATTGAAAACATAATTGAATATAAAAAATCTAATGCCATTTTCAGAAAATCCATTAGGGAAGCCAAAAAACCCTCTATCTAAAAATTCACCTCTGAAATCCACCCATATTCCGACCCAAATAAAATGTGGGCAAACATCAAACTGTTACGGTAGTTTGTTTTAACAAACAAACTCATACATAACAACCAATTCGGCTTCAAGAGAGGCAAACCTGTTCTAGATAGTCTACTTTACGTAGACCATCTTGCAGACAGATCCTTGTCTCTAAAAAAACACTTACCTATACTTTCTCTCGACTTCGCTAAAGCTTTCGATAAAATTGGCATCCACACCCTCATCCGTCAGTTGGAGGAATGGAAATTAGGCCCCCGCTTCAACTTCATGTCTAACCGGAAAATGATAATAAAAAATGGCACATCCCTCTCCCATAGCTTCCCTCTCGATAAAGGCATCCCTCAAGGTTCCCCTATCTCAATCATCCTTTTCCTAATTTCCTATAATTCCCTTACCAATATTATCTCCCTTTCAAAACAAGTCAAGTTCACTGCCTACGCCGACGGCTTCCATCTTATCATCTAACACAACCGGAACAGAAACCCCCAAAACAATCTTACAACCCTATTCCAGCAAATCCGTGAATAATGTTCCTCCTCTGGATCATCCCTCTCTCTTGAAAAATGTCAAGTCCTACACATATGCCGTAGAAGAAACTGCACAGCAAAAATAGTCACTGGCTCAATCAACATTCCTACCACCGACTCTACAAAAATCCTTGGCCTGACAATCAACAACCAGTACAACTGGCATTCTCACGTAAACAACCTAAAAACATCCCTCTCCCGTCCCCTTAACATAATTAAACACCTCTCCTCAAGAAAATACAATTGCAACAACGCCTCCCTCATCCAAATAACAAACTCCCTCCTCATCTCCAAAAAAGACTACTGCCTACTCATCTACGGGAAAGCTCCAACCTCCATCCTTAACCAACTCAAATCCTCACAAAACGCAGCTATAAGGGCAGCGCTTGGTGCCTTCAGAACAACACCAACAAATAATCTGCTGACTGAATCAAAAATAAGCCCTATTCTAATCAGACAAAAATACCACACTGGCAAACTAGCAACTAAACTGACCCACTCGCATGACTCCCCAATTGGCAAATTCCTCATACAGGTACCCCAGCACAATTGATACAATAATTGACTCCTGCAAAACCCTATCCCTCCATCTCTCCCCTGCTAAAAACTACCAATCCAAAAAATACAACCCAGAATGAAAGCCACAAACACATCCCTATCCCACTACAACAAAAACACCACACCCCCTATAACCTTCCACCAACTTTTCCACTCTATAAAAAACTATCTCCCCAACCATCAATTCCTCTACACTGACGGCTCAAAGACAACGACATTGTTAGCTTTAGCATAACAAATGACCACAACACCATTAAAACCGGACTCCTACCCCAATATTCCTCTG